TTCGAGTGAATTGATGTGAGTCTTCCAATTCCTGATTGAAATGGGGCTTATGATGACTGCTTTAGCAAAGTTGTGATATGCTAACCAAGCTGCAATTCATATTGCTTCTAACATTGTCTTCCATGAGTGAACAAAGGATATTGAGATAAATTATCATTTTGTTCATTAAGAGATTCAACAAAATTTGATTTCTATAGCTCATGTAAATACTGGAGAACAACTAGGAGACATCTTCACAAAGGTCCTTGATGGAGCAAGAGTCATTTATATTTATAACAAACTAGGCATAATCATTATCCATGCTCCAGCTTGAGGAGGAGTGTTATGAAAAATAATAAATATAAAACTTGTATTTTAGGTAGTTTGTGTATTAGGAAGTTTATATATCAGGTAACTAAATTAGAGGAGATTTAATTTCAGATCTTTTCAATATTAGGTATATTCTTACATTATAGAGAGAGGAGCGTATATAAATATGTGACATATGATTTCAATTAGTGATAAGAAAGTATGAACTGTAGGAACTCATTTCCTTTACAGTTTTCAAATGTTAATATGAATGAGCAAAAATTGGTTTTGGTTTCTTATGTCAGTTTTTGAAAAACTGGTATGCTTGTGTTTTGTTAACTCACAAACATCACTATAAATTTTTTTGATTTTGATTTATTTGAATAATAAGCAAAACTTATTTTTGAAATACCTAAGGATTGATGCTGAAACATGAGTGTTGAAATAATATATTTTTCCTATTGGATGATTTAGATTTTAAGGTTTCAGAAGAGGAAAGATAAATAGAATATGTTCTATGGAGTTTTTTTGATCAGCGGATTCTTCGAGGTGATAGAGACCATCTGTTTTTTTGTTATTCCAGTCGTTCTCCTTGTGCTGTTTTCCTAGCACACTCAATGCGAAGGATAATATGCAACACTGAAGTTTGAATTTGTAGTTAGTTTCAATTGATTATAATTTGTTAAATAATTTAGGAACAAGGAGAACATTTTGAACAGTGAACGGTTTGTTTATAAGAATGTCTTTGGCTAACAATGATTGCAAGTGTCTTCTAGCAATAGTTTTTTTAATTAGTAGATCAAGTGAATTTGTGTGAGGAGTTGGTTGTATGGTTGTAGTTCTGGAATCAATAATCTAAAGTGCTGAGATTGGGTATCTTTTAGACTTTAAATGCATGAGAAGATGAGGTAGTAAATGAGAATGAAAGAGAGTGAGTACATGCCATAAGTCTTTTCTAGTGATACTAGCTAGCTTTTTAACTTTTCTGTTTCTCCTTTCTGGAATTTTATGGGTGATTGTTTGTTGTTACCTTTTTCCATACGTGTTATATATGCGTGTCTCTATTTTTTTTACTTATTCTCCTTATGATTAATTTGTATTGGTGGATTGCCATGAAAAGTTTTCACTATCTTTCCTTTGTATGCGAGTTTTTTTTTCTATATATGTACTATAAAGAACCTTTATTAATCTTTTTTGTTGGATTTGGTTGATCTTTTCTAGTGAGAGGAGTGTTTTGAATCATAGTGTTTAATGTTGATAACCTTTGGGACTAAGTAATCTCTATTACTTTATTCTTTTCTTCTATTTAAATGATAGCAATAACATTATTTTGTGAAGGTAAATCCTTCTTTGCTAGAATTTGTACTCTTATAGCATTAAATTAAAATTTAATTCTGCAACAAAATTATAAATCCATTTTTTTTAATAATCTTTGAAGGTGAGCTATAATTCCGTCTTATTCCATTTATTTGCATTGATATTTGTTCTTGCTAAAAGCCTTGTCACAGGTTATAATTTTCTGTGATGGATTGCTCTTCTTGTTTGATAGATAAGATCTTAGTCTAGATTTTATAGATTTGAACTACAACGCGGTCTTTAGAGTATAGGTAATTTTTCTTTTCCATATTTCTTCGGCCGAATGAAGGAACATACAATTGTCACTTATCTCGGGAACCAAGGAGTTCCATAATTAGGATATCAATTCCATAGAATCTTGTTCTTCTCAAGCTTTGGATTTCCTTGCTCACATTTAGTACTAATTTAAGCCTAAGTTTTATAAAAGATGGTGTGAGAACCAAATACATCCACTTAAAGTAATTATTTATTTTCAATGAATTTGTTGAATTGATGTTTTGCAATTCTCTCATTGGGTTTGAGTTCCCTGTCCCAGTTTTAAATGCACCTAACACTAACGGAATATGCATACTGTCGTGATAAATGGGAATGAAATGTTTCGCTGTAACTGGTTGCAAAAAGAATGAAAAATAGAATTAAGACCAGCAATGATTCTATGATTATTGTAAACCTAGCTAGAAGGGAATTGCAGCAATGAATGCTGTACGATTTCGGCAATGCATTGGTGTAGGTTGCAACTTATAGAATAACAAGGAAAAAAATGTTTAAAGCAGCATAATTACAAGGATCGGAGACAATTGGATGTGTATTTCATTTCATCTTTTATGCTAAATTTATATAGGTCAAGGCGAACCTCTAGTAAAAATATATGAAATAGAAGGAATTAAAATTAACTACAGAATAATAACAATTAATATAGCACATGGATGGGTGAGGTGGCAAACAAGGTACGGAACTTGGTTTGAAGTATGAAAGAGAGCTGGCGGCTTGTTAGGGTGGACTGCTGGAAGCAGTGTTGCTGGACGTACAGCTAGGAGGCTTCCATAGGTGTGAGCCAGGACACAAATCATGAATTATAGTTGAATAAGTCATGGGTTTGCTTAGGCGTTTCCACAAATTTATATTATAAAACGTGGAATGCTTTTATAATGGATTTAGTAGTATGTATAAGTCAACGCACATTAATTTAGTATACATAAATAGAATGCCTTTCATTGACTGTAGGAATGTAATCTTTAATCTTATAATAATTATGTTGAAATTACTTGGAATCATAATTGACTTATTTCCATTTGATTTGCATCTTTTTGTTATTATGTTACAACATTTTTTTAAGCTCTAATACAAAATTTGTATGAGACGCCTTTAGGTCTCTTTTTAATGTCGTTTTAATGTGAATTGCAGAAAACCATGTAACAAATTAGTATATTAATTAAAGCAAATATCGGTTTCCACTCATGGAAATCAGAAATATATTAAGAAATAATATTGGTGATAATTTGTTTTGAGCTTTCTGGTTCTGGAGGTTGGATTGAAAATCCCATAAAAAACTAGTCTTTTGTTGACATATCCTTTGAAAAGGTCTACTGAAATCTGGTTGAAAGTTTTCATTAGGGTTCACAGTGCACTTTGGCCTTTTATTTAAAGTTAACGTCTTAGATTAATTATCAAAAGAGCAACACAATGACTTGAATTTCACGCAATTGGTATAATCAAAATTGCAACAAAACTAATTATACATAATCTCTATAGCATATCAATAATGAAAAATTGTTGGAGGATTTGAAGAAAGAAAAAAAAAGGAATTAGGGAAAGGATTCGCTATAATAGTTGGCCTCGTGTTTGCATTAGGAATTTAAGTCCTTCAAACTCCTCACGCTATCAAGAAATTGATTCCGGAAAAAAAGGGTTCAAGCATCCTGCATTGATTCCCTGAAAAAAGGGCTCAAGCATCCTGTTAAAAATTTTAGCTGTCAGCTAATAAATTTTTTACATACCTTGGACCCAAATTTTATTTCAAAACTTAAAAAAATCTCGCATTAAATTAGGGCATAACAAAACTATAGTCAAAGAAGGCAAACCACTTACTATCACTTACAGAAGCCATCACGACTTCCATTACTGTTTTGCAAACAGAGCCACAAATATAGAAACAATGGATTAGCTGTTGAAATCGAGTCATCATAGACGAGGTGATCGACAAGTAGAAAACAACAAAGTAATGGTTTCCCAAATTCCGGATAGCAGGCATGTAGCAGATATCGACGTGATACATCTGTCCGGAATGATAGCAGCAAGATGGAAAGGTATGGGTGCAGATTCTGGAAGTTGGCAGCAAGTGGGGAGGCGGTAGGGCACGGGTTCCGGAGGCGTCAGTGCGTGGAATGGGGAGGACCGGTTGGAATAGTCCGGAGAACAGCAGGCTTGTTGCTTTTTGATGGACAGAGCCCCGCGGAGAATGGCTGTGTGAGGCGGCAGCAGCGAGGGGGGATGCGGCGGCAGTGATGGGGATTCGGAGGACTGCAGGACAGCAAAGGAGGGATGTCCGGGTTGGCGGCAGCGAGGATAGGTGGCTGGAAGTTGGAAAGTTACTGAAAAACAACCATGAGCGACTGTTCTAGGCGGCTGCAACAAAACAAAGATGTGTGGCAGCAAAGTTGAAGGGATGGAGAGGAGTTGGGGATGGATAATCACCATCTCGGGAGTGAGATACTCCCGGAGCACCACTCAACCCTTAAATACAACTCTATAAGAGAGAAATAGAGACTCCGGTGGCTGTCCCTGAACAAAGAACATGAGAATACTACCTAAACAGAAGGAACTCACACACGCACTCCCGCGTGTGGTCCAGATGGGGAACTCCCGCATGCAAAACACGATATTGCGTCTGTCCCCGCATCAACATGGGAATAAAATCAAACATAAAATTTACATTTCTACTCTGCTCTTCTAATTGTAAGAATTCTTATGTTATTCTACAAACCTAATTAAAAGATTGATAGCAACTTCTTTTAACTATTAAGCCTAAGTATGATTGGGGTTTTATTTCTTTAATTGATAAAACAGTCATTTATTAATGGCTATTTTAAATTTACGTTCTTAATTGATATTTGATAAGCTTCATAGTAAATTTTTCTTCGTCTTCTCATGATAGAGGAGTCAATTGTCTGAAACTTCCTTTTATTACTTATGCAGTTGGTCGAGATTCCATTTTGGGGTAGTTTCTTTTTTTATCTTCAGTTTGATGCATCATGTTTATTTACTTTTTCCTTTAATGATTGAATTTTTTTGAATTTATCTCTATGCTTTACCTCTATTCTACCTCCTTTGATTGGCTACCCTTATGTGCGTGACAGTTATGATGAGTTAGGTGTCCAGAAAATCATACCTGATACTGCATTCATTAAAAGATGGAGCTCTAAAATTGAAGCAGTTGTTATAACTCATGGGCATGAGGATCACATTGGTGCGTTGCCTTGGGTAAATCTTTTCCTCATGCTTGCAGCTACTCTGCGTGAAGATTGAATAATTTAATGCTTATTATAAACTATAATCTACAGTATAGAATGATTAACTCTCTTGATTTCATGTTTGCCTATTTGCTTTGTATATTGAGTAGACTTGTATGTTCCGTGGGATTGCTTCTTCTTACTGGACAAACTCTTCTTGGCTAAGATTTTAGAGTTTATAAATAATAATGATCTTCTTGTTCTTTGTTTAATTGGCTAATATCGAATAAATTTTGCTCCATTTGCAATCCATATCAATATTTGTTGTGGATTCCCACTTGTTGTCATGTTTGCTGATTTGTTTTTTAATATTGAGAAGACTTGTTTCTTCTGTGGAATTGCATTTTCTTACTTGATGAACTCTTCTTGTTTGGGATTTTTAGAGATTAGTTAATAACAATGATGCTCGTACTTTTAGTTTCTTTACCAAGCATCAAATAAATTGTACTCTTCTGTGCTATATTAATTTTGGTGTGTATTTGTTAATACATTTGTGTATTTGTCCAGATTGCATGCTTTGTAATAAAATAATATAAAATATTTGAAATCTATAAAATTTCAAGAAAACTGTCAAGCTAATTGATAGTTTGGTTGTCTTAAACTGAGTTCCTGGCTATCTGGTATTTTATTTAGGGGGATTTACAACCTAACACTCAAAACTACTAATATTACCTATATCACACCCAAACCTCAATATTTACATTCTTAGCAACCAAAACATTCAAATAACAACAAAATCAACACGCATCATTAACCCCATTATCTCTCTAACTTGCCTGCCAGCTCTGGCTAGAAATATGGGAGTTTTGGTTTTCTTTGTACGCCCGGTCCCGTCATTGTTGGAGGAGGAGAAAGCTGGGAGTTTTAGAGGCCTTTGTACGCACTATGTAGTCACTCTCGAAGGAAAAGAAAAGTGGGAGTTTCAGAGTTCTTTGTCCGTGTGATTCAGTTGCCGGAGGAGAAGGTGGGAGTTTTGTAGATCTTTGTACGTGCGATCATCTCCCTGCCAAAGGAAGAGAAAGATAGGAGTTTCGGATGTCTGTGGATGTCGTGATCCCGCCGCTGACAAAGGAGGAGAAAGATAGAGTTTCAGACGCCTTTGTATGCCGCGATCGACTGCCGATCCCATTGCTTCCTCATCACAGCTGTCCCTTCTCATTTCGGTGAGATTGTATAACACTATTAATGATGTTAAGCGGGTGATAGGCGGTGCAAATATTGAAGTTTGAGTGTGAGATATGTAATATTAATAGTTTCATGTGTTATGTATGTAAATCCCACTTTTATTTAAGATTATGATTGGGCCTACGCGTTAAGTTGACTGTTCTAATTAGAAAAACTTACTCCAAGTTTTTTACTGCAGTTATACTACTAATACTGGAATTAACCAAAACCACAAAAGAAATGAAATATTATTATTGCCGAAATTCAAATAGGTTACAACTATGACTCATTGAATAGTAAAGAAATGACAACAAACATAAAAGACACATAAGGGCGACAACGAGGGCGATGAACGACAACTGGACAACAAGTGGGAGGGCTTGTCGGAGCTGGCGGCAATAACTGGTGTGCTTGAGTGGATTCCGACGGCAGTTGGTCTGGAGGGAATTACGGTGCAGTGAAGGGTGGCTGGACAGCAGCCTATAGCCGGTTGGCAGCAGGGGATGTGAGGAAGTGGCCTACGACAGCAAGTGGAAGGGATTGGCTGTGAGGGAGGAGGCTTTGATAGCAAGCGTGGGAGGGATGAGATGTTACGATAGCAGGTGGTAGGGTAGAGTGGATTAAGGCAGCAGGTAAGGGAAAGGATATGGTGGCAGTTGGTAGAGGAAATGATAGGGGGGCAGCAGGTTGGGGAAGGATATGTGAGGTTGGCGGCAGTAAGTCTAGGAAGAGGAAGGTGGGCATGTGGAAGAGCCATGAGCAGATGAGGGGAGATAAGGAAGGATAACTATTCTCGAAGGAAGGATAACTATTCTCGTGGGAGCGAGTTGCTGTCGGAGTTCCCCTCGAACTTTTGGAGATGATCACCACCTCGGGCTAGTTACAGCCTGAGCACCTCCTCACCGTCAGATACAACCCTAGAAGTGAAAGCAGCTGCCGACGGCAAGCTGGAGAGAAGTCTCAAACACAATAATCTGAACCCTAAACAAACAAAACCACACATATATAATAGCTAATAGATAAAGTAGGAAGGGGAGGCTCCCTTTTTGGGCGACAATTAGAAGAGGAAGGGTAGAAGGGCAGCAAATAGACGCAGGGAGGGGGAGGCGCGGTATCTCCCGCTCCCTGAAGGTCGATCGGTCTAATAGGGGGTTGGACCGGGATCTATCCTGGCCGGTTTACCTGGCCATCCAGCAAGCCGGTTCAGCCCGCCTCCAAAGTCCCATGTCCAATCTCCAAAGCCACGCATCAGCTACATTTGCATGGTTTCTCCTCTTTAGTTTAATAGTTTCTACTTATGTGGATTTTCTTTGCTATATTGGGTTTTGTTCATAAATTTTCACAAATCTAGATTTCATCTTACTTGAGCCTTTGATGTCTGGTCAAATTCATCTGATACTGCTATTATGTAGATCAGGTACACCATTCAGATCTATATTTATGTACTTAGTGAAATAAAAAAGAAGAATCCACTTGTATGAAGCCATTTAAATGAAGAAGGCTTCAATTTGCAATGAAGCACAACAAATTTGTGAATAACTTTTTCTGCTGGATATTTAGTTGCATTAATGAGGTTAGAGAGAGAGAGAGGTTTTAATATGCATCATTCTTTTGCCTCTTTATTAGTTTTGGCTTATCGTCCATTGTAGAGGTGTCAATAAATGACACAATACAACACCTGACATTGCTCATCTTGAAAAACTTTTGCTCAGGTTTGGATCTAAAGTGTCGAGTTGCTTACTATTTAGTTCAGGTTTAGGTTGGTCTTAAAGATCCAAAATCACTAAAAAATAGCACATTTAATTTTTGGATCTAAAATGCAATCTCTTTAATTTTTGGATCTAAAACACAACCCATTTAATTTTTGTCTCAATGGGTTGTGTTGTCATAAAAATTATATGAACCATATAATAAATGGTCTAGACGTGTTTGGTTTGAGTCAATTAAGTTTATATCTTGTTGGATTCAAGTCAGACGTTTTGACTTGTACAATAAATGGGTCATAGGTCTAGTTTAATTTAGGTCATACTCAACCCAACCCCTACTCCAAATTGATTCCCCTAGTTTGAAAGTGCTGTTGATTGCTCCATTTTATGGCCTTAAAATGTAACCGACATCAATATCCACAATTGTGCTCATGATTTAATGAGTTTGGGGGCGCTAAGGGGCCATCGTTATGGTGAAACAACATAAAGCAGCATCATAGATGTAGCGCAAGCTATCGTATTTGGGACAAGCAGGTCATGTTGGGCTCAGATTTTTTATGGGCCCCTAGCATGCCTGCAAAGGTACTCATTCAATCTTGGAAGATATTCATGTGTTGTGAAAAATTTAAACAATGTTTCCACATTACCTCCATGGAGCTTAATGAAAGATGTGGATCATTTCCACAACGTTGAGAAATGCATGTATGGTGTGATGCACTGGCCTTCACAACAACAATTTTGTAAACTTATGGGGAACGAAACTCTGACTTTGATCAAGTTGCAGGTGATTCTACTCTACCTTGTCCACTTAAAATTATCAATTTTTCTTTGGACATAAAATATTCCTTGAGTATTTTGATTCTTGAAAGCAATTGAACATGTGAAAGTTCAACTGAAGATTTTTGAAACCTCTGATTGGGATCATTTATCATAAAAATTATGTCAAAGTTTGAAGTTGCCTTTTATACTGAAATATTTGATTTACTTATAAAATATAGGCAAATTAAACTTTACCTTCATTTAATAGATACCGTGGATATAAGTCGCTTAAAAAACAGATGTCACCTGGTAGAGCAACGAGAGGGTGGATACCTTTGTAGGATAAGAGGACACAATTCCGATTTCTGAAGTAGTTACTTTATTTTAGATCCCAATGGCCAAATGTGGTTCATTGACTTGCACGGTGCGTCCCAAGACTTCGCAACCCAACTTCTTGTTTTGTCTAGATGTTTGTTGCATTTTTACAGTCCTTCAAGACTATTTGGCTAAGGTTCACTAAACCAAACACTTTTGGCCTTCTTTGTTTTTAGGATTAGGGTTTAAGTTCCATCTTGGCTTTCCTTAATTGTAAGGTTGTATGCCTCATTTATGGGCTTCTCTAGGCTCAAAGTTGTAGATCTTCTTTTGGGTTACTTTGCCTCAACAGTCACAGGTCAACATTCGGGCTTGCTTTGTCCTCAAGCTCATAAGTTTGGTTGTGGCCCCTCAATTTTAGCTATGGAATAACTATAATAACTAGGTTTGAGAAATTAGATAAAAATTTTGACGACCTAGAATATATCCGAAATTTCGGATCCCTCATATTTCAATCAAAATAATTTAATAAAATTATACACTAAAAATCGATCAATTTAATTAATAATACTATATATAAATTTTGAATGAATTGAAAGTTATAAAAATTAGAAGTTATAAGTTTAATTAAACCTCATCAATCTTATATTATTGTTTCCAACCGCCTCTCCTGTCATTATATTCATTGGTTTGGTCAAAGAGGGGTTTCAGAGCATTCGATTTTCCTCTTCTCCTCTCGATTTGCTCGCACGTCCTCCATCCCTGTTCGATCGAATGATCCTGCGATCCTTTACTGTAGCTAGGGGCGAGCGGCCACTTGGTAAGCCTCAGAGTTTTGATTCTTATTTTTCCTCTCCTAATTTATTCTTCCAATGAGAGTAGCGCTCGACTACTCTAGTCGTGCCAACCAAGAGGCCTCCACAGAGCCGCAAACGATATTTTAGGGCTCCGGGGTGAAATCGATGAGTACAAAATCCTATTTTGTGCTATTAGAGACATGCATTTCCTTCTTCTTGCTTTCATTTTA